TCGCCATTCACCGTAACGTTGCGTCCAACAGCATCTTTGAAAAAATACGGTCCAATGATTCCACCAGCGTACAAACCACACCAAACAGTGCATTTTTCGGGATGCATGGGCAGTTCTTGAACGGCTTCTGGTTGCTCTTCACTCCAAATGCGGCAATTTTGCTTATTTACGAAGCCATTCAACCAGAAATGAGCCTCATCGCTGAACAAAATTTGTCGATAAAAAAGCGGATTTTCTGCCAACTTTTCTAGGGCCCATTCACTGAAAATTCGACGTTGTGGCAGATCGTTCGGTCTATTCATGATGAAATTTCAAAGCATACTGAGCATCTTTCTCTTTGACACCATGTCTGAAATCCAACGTGATCTGTCAAATACTAATGCATGAAAATCCTAACCTCAAAAAAATCACCCGTTACAATCGCCGTTCGGAGTCGGCGTAAAGCTGTAGGTCTTTCCTCTTCGCGTGACAACATCAAGGCGTACACCACAAATCGGAGGAGAAGCTCGGCCAAACACTAACATATGTGTAAGCGACAACCTATTATTATTATTATGTAGCAGGATTGCCAGGGAGAGGAGGGTTGGTAGGGAGAGTATTAGATAATTTAAATATGTATCGCAATACAAGTGTCAAACGATGAAAGTTTGACGAGGTTTAGGTTTAAAAATAACTTGAACAGGATTGCCATCTGTTTGAAAAGTCAAATTAAATTACATTTTATGAAATATTGGAAAATGGGCGTCAAACAAAGGATTATTAAGAAATATTTAGTTGAGCATTTATGACATTAAAGGGGGCTTCCACCTGTGTAAAAAGTTAATCTTAAATTATTTAATAAGTCAAATGAATTATTAAAGTGTGGGTATATATAGACATGGGTTAAAAATGTTTTTTTTCTGTACTTTAGTCAAGAGGGTTGCCATATGTTTTAGAAATTAAATTAAACTTGTATTAAGGGACTTAGATACACAATTTAAATATGTATCGCAATGTTTGTGTCAGCCGAAAAAGGTTAAACAAGGTTTTGGTTTTAAAATATTTTGAATGGGGTTGCCACCTGTTTTAAATTTACAATTTAATTAAAGAATGCAGTTAAATGAAATATTAAAATATGACGTGAAACGAAGGTGGTAAGATACCCTTAGTTTTAATATTTAGTATATTAAGGGCCGGTTGTTCAATGTCTGGTTATCAATACTTGCCGGTTAAACATCATTATCGACGTTTTCGACATCACGCATATAACATGTGATCGATAAAGCAGTCGTTGTATTTAACCGGAGCTTCTACCTCCGATTTGTGCTAATCAGACATTGAACAAGCGGCCCTTAAGAGGGTTGGCATCTGTTTAAAAGGGTAAACTCGAATTGTTTTATGAGTTAAAGCAATTGTTAAAAATATGGGTATCAAATGAAATATGTACGTATCACAATATCAGACGCATGAGATTTGTTTATTTCTTAACTACATTTATTTAGGAGGGTTCCCAGATGTTTCAGAAGTCTTAGCTAACTTATGCACAAATCCCAAGACGAAGATAATGCGAAGACGAGCACGAACACGAAAAAAATCTAATACGGGGACCTATGCTAATATAAAAAGTAATACAAATTTCTGCAGTATGAAAGGCAATAAAAATGAATCGAAGTAGTGATACACGTCATGGCATGTATGTATCAATTCATAAGCTGATATGATTGAAGTACATATGATTGAAGTTAATGTGGATCTGCTTCTCTATTACTAAGTACTAATATTTTGCAACTCATATTGATTTATTAAATTCAGTTTTTAACTTGAATATGTTCTTATTATTATCACGTGTTCTACGTTTAAGTTTAGCGGCTGTGGCTCCGACACAGCCCGCAGATCAACACGAAGGCGCTGGACTGATCCTTTTTTTTGGTTTTAAAGCTAAAGCTATCAAAATATACAGCGCACATTCATATTTCTTGCACAGATTTACTTGAGCAACGTTTCTCCAAAATAAGGTTTGCGCAATTTTATTGTGCAGTAATTTCCACAATATTGACTTGTACAAGTCTCGGATTGCGCAATGATTTTATGTGGTTTAGGGGCCCTATAAGTTGGTTTCTCGTTATGCAAATAAGCATACATATTCTCTGTTTTTGTTAAACCAAGTAATATTAATTATAAAATTTTTTTTATTAAATGTTTTTGATACTTTTTCCGCTTGCAACTGATACTTTTTTTACAAGCTCGCGGCAACGTTGGGTAGAATACGCATGTGTGTATACTAGCTGGAAATGAGTCAACGGACAGTTGCATAGTGTTCAGCGCATCATCTAGCGGACGTTAGTTCATATAATTACAACCAGAGAACGTAAATATACGTTCTCTGATTGGACTCGGTTCACCAGAGAATGTTAATAAACTGACAATGGGCAAAGTTAAATAACATTTTTGCAGGAACTGATTAAAAATCTGAACTCTAGGAACTCACCACTCAGGTCAAGAAACACTGCACGCTAATTTAATTACCACATTCTATGGAGGATTTGTTTATAATAGCTGTGTTTTCGTATTCTCCAGCAAAAAATATCCAGTAACTTGCCAGTAACGAAATTTCGGAGAGTAAGCCAATATTTGCTCCCAATGAGTGATATATGCAAGAAACTTCGAAAACGCAAAACCAGTAAGAAGTTGCTAGTTTTATGAACAGCTGATTAATTTGTTACTTTCCGATGCAATTTTCTTAGAAAGCTAGTAATTTCCACCTTATTATATATTTAAATAGGTTTATCTTGTCAATTGCAACTCTAAAAGTTAACAATTATTTTGTTAATGTGAATTACATTAAGCATCATGCCATCAGCTGTTTTTCTTGCAAGCAAATAGTTGCTAGTAGAAATTTATCCAGTAAAAATCCAGTTAAACTTGCAAGTTCAGTTGTCATTTTTGCTCTCTCAATTTCCCCTCTTTTGCTAGTTTCTTGCAAGTTTTTGCGTACGAAAACGACATCCAGTAAAAAACCAGTAAAATGAGTACTGGATTTACTAGATAGTGCGTACGCGAACAGGGCTAATGTTGGCACTAGGATTGTTTCGAATGTCATATTTTTCACATTCGCGAATGCGAATTTTCCGGATGCGAATGTGCGAATGCGAATGTTAGGAATAACATTAAAAAAGCTATAATCAACTTAGTCATTGTTTTTATTACTTAAACATTACAGTATTTTAATGTAGTAGTCAAAGTTCAAAAGGGGTATATTATATTTGAAGAAAAGTAATTTTGCAGCCTTTTCTTCCATAAGACGATTTCTTAGAGGGTCGTATATAAGGCCGGATGCACTGAACAATTGCTCACTTGGAACCCTGGCGGAAACATTTTTTAATGTTTCCAGATACTACATCCGTGCCTTTTGCCTACTTCAGGGGTTTCCAGACTTTTTTCGCCGCGGCACCCTTGTTGTGCTAAAACAATTTCACGAAAACAAGAAAACACAATGCAGACTTTATGCCCCTTCAGCTTTAATGTGGGAACTGAAATTGTTTTGATGATTTCATTATTTCCTTTAAGTTTATTGGGAGCTTTGACAAATTTACCCTGAAAACATTTGACGATGGACGTTTGCTGGTGGATCAGTTTTTAACCGACTTCATTAAAAGGAGAAGGTTATCAATTCGTCAGAATATTTTTTTGTTATTATTTTTTTATGTATGTTACCGCATAAATTTGGACCACGTTAACCGATTACTATAATTCTTTTTTTTTAAGGAAAGTGTTACCTCACAGGTAGTCACATTCTAATTTGGTTTATAGCGGATTATTGGATCATGAAGAGATTAACGATAATCTTAAATTTGTATATGAGAATTGAAGACGGTTTTGTTTTTTGCTTAAAAATTATTTGTTTATGTAAGCATTTGTTGAAAATGCAGTCTCACATAGAAATGTAAAAGTAAAAGTCACTAGTATTATTAATGCAATCTTTCCAACAGCAGTGTTTTCTGCATACACTTGCATCCAGAACTTTCTTGGCTCCCTTCGTACTATTTAATATTCAAAGCGCTGTATTCACTGATGTCCAGAAGGTTTTCAAAAGCTTAATTTGTCATCTCAGTAAGTTTACTTTTCGGGTCACATGAAAATGGGGTTGTTATCCAGCTGTAGACATCCTCAGAGTCAATGTTGGGAAAATATTCGGCAAGGGGTAATATATATCGAGCCCTAGCCGCGAAAATGAAGTTAGACAACTTTTTTCAAAATTGAATTTTGATGCCTCTTAGAGCACCTGTATCAAAAAGTCAATTAAAATATATATATACATATATATACATTATTTTAGCGGTCAGGGCTCGGTATGACGAATTTCTCCGATGCTCCTCGTTATTTGGAAATCTAAAAAATTGGAAGATAGGAGATCTTTTCCTAACCAAGACAAAACTTATTTACACATAAAGCGGTGTGGTATTTTATATGTTGGCCGAATCCAATAAAGCTCGTTATTCGATTCCCTTCGCTGCTGATTGACGCCAATTGGAAATGCCAAGTCCTTCTCTAACTGGTATTCTTATCCTCTGCCACCACCAACGGCCGCAGCGCTTCTCATAGATTTACAAAAATTTTATTTTTTGTTAATTTTTCATAAGAATTGTTTTTAAATAAAAACTTGTGAAACCGCTCCTGAATTTTGAAAAGTAAAATTGTCATTTTGAGTACATTCTCTTATCGAATCTCTCTTTCGTTTTTCAATATTTCGACACTCTGATGTTGGGGAATGTACTTTGAATGCATGATGCAATATAGAAGTATTATATATATGGTGTTATACGTTCGCTTTCCTCTCGCTCTAATCGCCATACTGAACGCCCTTAGCAAATTCAATTTGCCGCTTTGACCAACTCCTTTTTATATTACATCGATTTTCATGAAAAAGTACTAAAAATGGTACTCACACAAGGAAAACCATAGATCGACAATGATTGGCATCACTAATCGACTTTTTATCTCTGTCTCTATTGTTATTCGTTGACAATCAATATTAAATTTTGTGCGAATCGATAGCTAATTTGTGAAAACTAAGAATTTTCACCATTTATTGCAATTTTTGGAAAACCAATTGCTCAAATTGTAAGTACTTTATGCATATGTGATATAGAATCTATAAATAAAATTATTCCACAGGTTTTCTGGGGTTCTGTGTATATGTGAATTTAACAGACAATTTGTGTTTTCCGAGCTGCTCTTCCGTGCTGATTTCAAGTTGGATTTGCGTTGTAAGTACAAGTGGAATATATGTATGAATATTTCTTAAACTAATGGGTTTTATTCCTTAGCTGATTGAAGCCGTACTAATGGAAGTTTTCGCATGTTTACGTGGGTGCGCTGATCGTTGTTTTGCTGTGTTGGATTTTGCGCCTCTGTACCCAAAACCGCGATATTTAAGTAACTGCCAGGGACGTGAACCGGATGAAAAATTTGGTCGGTTCGGTACAGTGGTTCGAACCGTTTTTGCACTTTTGGATTGGTTCGTCAAAGCGGTCTTTTTGGTCTTTGAACCGAGGTTTCGGTTCGGTTCAACGGTTCGAAAAACAAAAAAATTACGCGGAAGTTTAAGTGTCAAGTGCAACAACGTGCAAGGTTAAGGGCCAAGTGTCTGTCAAATGAGATGGGTTGCCTTTACATTTGATATTGTCACATGGTAAACAAACATGGTAGGTATTACCATGTTTAACAAAAAGAAAAAAAAAGTTGGTACATTTAAATATCTATTGAAAATTGGTTGAAACGAACCTTTAAACCTTTATGGAAAGTGGTTCGGGTTTCGGTTCGGATCAAAAATTTGTGGAAAATTTCGGTTCGGTTAATGGTTCAGTTAATTAATAAAAAAAATCGGTTTTCCGGTTCAAAACCGGTTCACGTCCCTGGTAACTACTACAGCAAAATTACTATAATTACATCGGACAATAACCACGCTGACCTCCATGTCTTTTAGAAAGATACAAATTCTACAATATTTTACTATACTTATATATGAGTGGTAGAGCAGTGAAAAAAAAAATATATATATGTATATATATACTTCATTCCTTGAAAAGGAACAGATGTATGAATTACCTGTTAGTAAATAAAAAAAAGTAATTTCTTTAACATGCTTTCGTTAGTTGTTAAAAAACTAAGAAGTTAACAATGTTTCTTTTTCCTCCTACGCGTTTCGATGTTTTTCACATCTTCCTCAGGGAGTCTGGTGTTTATTGAAAACAAAACATAAAAAACAAACAATTAGGCACATATATATGTAAATAAAAATTATAACAAGTACAATACGTTGGTGTAACAATTTTTCCCGCAAAACATAACTTACA